GACAGCAGGAAGCCTCCCCGATCTCCAGATGGATTTGAGATATCAAAAAAGTACTCCAGAGTGTTGTTCAGCATGGGGGTGAGTAGAAAATGAAGGCTAATCATGTTTTGGGTGTACTATTCCTTTAAGAAGTTAAGAAGTTTTATAGAGTGTAAATGTTCACTGTTTGAATTTCGTTCAGCTCTCTTAGCTTGTCTATTTGTTCTTAGTATTGAGCCACTGGCAAAACTAATTAAAACAAATCCACTCATTCGGGGTATAACAAATACCCAATATAAGATAACGCTTTTTGCTGATGATATTTTAGTCTTTTTAAAATCCAGTCACTTTCACATGTGTGCTCCTAAACTATCTGGATTAAATATATTGACGTCTTTTAGACATGATTATTAGTAAAGCAGAAGCAATTGTGTTTTCTGGTCAATGGCATTCTGAAATTAGCTCTTTTTAAAAGATCCTCACATGAATTTAGATATCTAGACACTTAGGCAACTACCAGTACCTTCTTTCTAAGGGATAACCAGTCACATTACAGGCACCCTCACCCCTCTGAATTTTTCGTATGTTAACATCTTTAAATGTTATGTATTCATGCAGTAATAGCGTATATGACTTGTATTATCGAGTTTCTCTACAAACACTCTCTGTTCCTCTAACTGATCTCCATCATTCCACATTTTTCTCTGCAGTCACTGACCTGCTGTCTCCCAGCAATAATTTTCCCAAAAGGCCCCAGTTTATAGTTGATCACCAGAAATTTTAACCATTTTGGTCACTGAAGTTGTTTATGTTTGACCATGTTAGTTGTTTATTCCTATCTTATGTCATTACTGGTCTCCTCTGTAGCAGAAACCATCACCGCCTCATGTCTGCCTCTCTCACCCAATACTGTAGTCTTCTCCGTTAGGCTACATGGTCAAACGAGCAATATTTACCACTAGTAAATAAATAACCCCTCTTGGTAATGCAGTTTTCAATTAAAATAACATTCCAAATTATTCGCTTGGTATTAAGTTGACCAACCAGTGGCCTTACCCTGTCTGTCATTATTCTTTCTTCTTTTTCTCTCCACCGTTAGAGATGAATAACATTCATTTTGTGTTATAAAGATTTGAAAAAACCCACTAGTCAAATTAAAAATATAAATAATTTCAAATGTTAACCTCATTGGATTCCAGTTACTGCATCTGCTCAGATTTATCAGCTACATCACAGCCGCCCAATAGTGTTATATCTGAGAAAAGTCATTTAAATCACGTCTTACTCTCAAATTCAATAATATCACTTTTTTTTAATTACTAGGAGATGGATCAGATTAAACAATCACTTTAAATGAATCACGTTAAAAATATTTCTTTATCCCTTTTTATCTCTTTGTTGTTTACCTGTCTTTCTGGTTCTTCCTCACTAACTACCAGTCATCAGATGACATCATCATTCACATGAAAACTTCACCAGCTTATGATGATGCCGCTCAGGTGCGGCACACCTCTGCTCCCGCATTCCAAAGAAGCACAGACTGAGCATTTAAAAGGCGTAATGACTATTAATTAAAATAAAAAACAGGAAGGTCTAGGATGATCTAATTTACAGCTGCACGTTTGGGAAACATATTTGGGCACAATAGTGGCGTGAATTACAAATATCAAGGAAACTGAGTTGGTCTCAACTGAACAGAAATCATTTCCTGGGGTGTCAAAGAGTTTTCTACTAGTGAAACCTTTCAGAAACGTAACATTCCCTTTACCAACAATTAAAACCTAGATCCTAATCCTAAAACAATGTAAATGTACTAAGTATATACTGTACATACCACCAAGCACTTTTTCCTTCTTTTTGCACCTTCTTCTTTTTGACTATTGAGCTGGTGTAACAATAAAATTTCCCCACTGTATATATATATATATAGTAGTATTTCATCAGTTCCAAGGTCTACCACACCAGGCAGGACCCCCGGTGCAGACTGTGCAAAGATGCCTCTGAAACAATACAGCACATAAGGGTGTAAAATGCAGGCAGGAAGTGCATACATGGAACGCCACAACCAGGTAGCTGTCATAGTGTACAGAAACATCTGCCATGAGTATGGGCTGGAAGTCCCAAGGTCAAAATGGAAGACACCTCCTAAGGTAGTTGAGAATGACCGAGCTAAGATCCTATGGGACTTCAAGATCCAGACTGACAAACAGGTGATGGCTAACCAACCAGACATCGTGTTGATCGACGAACAGCAGAAGAAGGCAGTAGTGATAGAAGTGGCAATCCCAAGCGACAGCAACATCAAGAAGAAAGAACACGAGAAGCTTGAGAAATACCAAGGGCTGAAGGAGGAGCTAGAAAAGATGTGGAAAGTAAGAGCAGCAGTGGTGCCAGTGGTAATTGGAGCACTGGGGGCTGTGACCCCCAAACTGGGAGAGTGGCTACAGCAGATTCCAGGTAAAACATCAGAGGTCTCTGTCCAGAAGAGCGCAGTCCTAGGAACAGCTAAGATACTGTGCAGAACCCTCAAACTCCCAGGCCTCTGGTAGAGGACCCGAGCTTGAGGATGACGCATACCACCCCACGAGGGGTGAGAAAACGTTTTTTTTTTATTATATATATTGGTCACACTGGCAAAGATAATAGGGGCAAAGATTAGATTTTTTTAAATTAAGAATTCTGTACAAGCAGCCAAGCAGGGTGGTGGCAGTATCATGCTAATTCCACGAATTTCTTAAAATTTGACTCAGCTTAACAGCTTAATTGGGGCAACCTTTGCCAAATTGTAAAAATCTGAGCACATGTTGGAATTGCAGCGGGACATTAATCCAAATAAACATTAAAAAAAGTTAATGTTATTGAATTTTAATGACTATCTTTGGATTAATAAGAATAAAAATAATAATAAAAGGTTATTAATCTCACACTGAAGAAATTTATCTCTGCATTTAACCCATCCCCTTGGAGAGCAGTGGGCTGCCACTGTGAAGCACCCAGGGAGCAGTGTGGGGTTAAGTGTTTCGCTCAGGAACCTAGAGTGGAGGCTGTAGGGATCGAACCGATTACTTGCAACCTTTTCGGAGCACAAGCGCACTGCTGTAACCACTAGGCCAACACCTCACCCAACAACACCAAAAAGTTGAATCTGTGCCACGACATGATCAGAAGAAAACAAAGTGTTCTAATCCTGGAGAGAACCCAAGCCAGAACGAGCTGATTAATGTCTCCAAAATGCAGCGAAAGTGAAACTAAAGGAGAGACAATGAAACAAATATTTGTGGAGATGTTATTAAGACTGTGTGAGCCGCGGAAAATATGTGTTGATTGTTCTCAAACCACCTAAAAGAAATCAAAAAGGAGTTTCTGAATCTACGTGACTTACCAAGGGTTGGGTAACTTGGAGTCAAATTATTGCTTAGCACAGAATGCACCTTGGTCTTTTTTTCACTCAAGAGGAAAAACTATTGAAATAAAATGAGAGAAAATCAAACTTATTTCCTTCATTAGAAATAAAGATTATCCACCTCGTGTCCTTGTTACAATTTTCTGACGATTCGTCCGGTTTTTCTCAGGTCCCTCCCTCCTCGGCTAGCACCTTCTGACAGACGGTTTGTCCTCAAAAATCCCTGACCCAACCTGGAGCTGTGGAAGAGAAAAACGGGGAACCAAACAATCTTAAAACACTCACTGACCTCATATCTTCAAATCTCCAAACATTTAGCTGTCTGTTTTCTTCTAGGATAGACTCATGGAGAGTATACACAGTATTTGAAAAGGAACAGACAAGTATTTACAGTTAATTGGGAGCTGGATGGTCTAGTAAGGAGATGATGCTAAGTGCTTAGAAGCCCGATCAAAGTTAGGGTTGACAAGAGAAAGAACAGAACTAAATACGAGGCAATCCTTAAAGAAAACTCCCTTGAGGTTGCAAAACAGGAGATCTAACTGAAGGGTTCACATAAAAATGGTATATGTTTTATAATAGCCTAATCCAAATCAGATATGAATTTAACTCATAATCTGTAGTTTGAAATAAAAACTAATGTTTATGTTTACTCTCTATCCAGTATGACCAGTAGAGGTCTGCCTAAAATAATTTTTCATTGCTTCCACGCCACAAAATAATTCTATTAACTTCTCTTGGTTTTTTATGTTAAGAAACAAAAGGAATATTTTCATAAATGAAGGCTGAATTCTACCATGTTGGCCATTGGTTTAATGAGATAGACATGATCAGAAATGCTTTAAACAGCAGGCATGTTGGACACCGATCAAGTCCGCTTTAAATGCATCAAGACACAAATCAACAAAAGAGTTATATTTGTTAACTCTTGAAGTACTATTATAGAAATAACCTGCAAATGCCAAATAACACTTCCAATGGTGATGCTGTGAAAGCATCTGGTTGCCATAGTTATTTCATATTATGGAGAATCTTAAACAACATGTATATTATGTAAAGGGGGGTGGATTTACCATTAGGCAATACTAGGCCTAGGTTGCCTAGGGCCCCACGTTCCTGGGGGCCCCATAAAACTCTGCTTACATGTATGGTCAATACAATTATTCCTTATTTGTGCACATTAATTATGTTTTTGATAAAAATCCTTTTGCTTAAAAGTCATCAGAACGCTTATAATATTAAGTGTGTCTCCCAAAGGTCCAAACAAATGGTTGCGAAGAGCAGTGTTGCAAACTAAGAGCTTTTGTCGCAACATATTCTTATTATGAGTTCGTATGAAATCGTACGAAAAGTTATGCACACTATTTCGTACGTTTTGGACGTTTTTCCTCAAAAAACCACATCAGTGCGCATGCGCAGGCAGACAGACAAAAAAAGCAGATCCGCGGATGGACGTAAAACTGGGAAAAACAGTGTAATAATCACTTCTTAATGGGTCTAACTACGTTGCTTGCTGTTTTATATCTTAGGGTTAGGTACAGGGTCAGGGTTAGGGCTAATTGTATTTTAAATTCTATGTTCTTGAATGGTGTGTAAGATGCGCATACGACGAAAAAACTTCGAAAACGTACAAAATTACGGTGCATAACTTTTCGTACGATTTCATATGAACTCATAATGAGAATAGGTTGTTTGTCGCTATATTTAGCCACTTTTCAGACCCCTCTAGTGCTACTTTTATTTAAAAAAAGCATCTAACTCCAAATCTAGCAATTTTTTTCTGCTACTGGAGACTTTGGCGACAACATATAAAAGCAGCGAACTCTGCTCTCCAGAGCGAGTAGATTGGTAACCCCGCCTCCTGCTCTCCTCTATCTTGTCTGCTGTCATGATTCACGCAGCTATTATTTCATACAAATAAAAAATGGAGAACAGATAAGCAGATCATGGCTTGTCTACAGTGAAAAGAAGGACTGGGTTATTTACTTTGGCCTTTTTGGAAACACAGGAAGGAGCAATCAGCTAAATGAGCTTAGAGAAAGAAAAACATCTTTTATTCCTTTTAAGACAGCATGAAAAGTCAGCTGAGTACAAAACACAGAGAGGAAAACAAGAAGAAAAGGGACAAGAAGAGAGGGACAAAACCTAGAACAAATAATGGATGTCTATTCTATTAAAATTTCTGTATCTGTATATTGGGTCTGTTTTATGCGTTGTCTTCTCAATTCAGAGGGCCCCAAATTCGCTAAATCCGCCCCTGATTATATATTTTGTGTTTTACCTTTGCATTCAATTAATCAAAAAGATGTTTTGCTTATGATCAATCAATCAAATGTATATTTTGTTTTTTAAATGTAGTCTTATCCAAAGCAGGGCATGTATGAAAGACGCACCTCGAGCACAGCAAAGGTCCAGATGCGGGTTTTTTGGGTCTGGCGCTCTGTCTGCGGTATTGCATCAATCCGCAGATCAGGTCGTGCGCAATCATCACGTAGAGCAGGAAGATGAGCACAGCGGGATCCATTCAACACCATGAACCGGCGCCTGCATATGTGCTGAAAACGATCAGATTCCAGGGAGTTCGTGAAGGATCGGATGAGGATGACGGTGACAAACAGGAGGAGGTGAACTTACCTCGGATGCGCTCCAACTTCAGGCGCTCAGCTCGGAAACGTCTGGCCGCACATTTTTCAGCCATGACAACACGCCATCTTCTAAAGTCCCTCCCTCGGAGGAGTGGAGTGATGATATTTGTCTTTTTTTCCACTCTGCCCCTCCTGCATCCCTCAGAAACAACAGATGAGGGTCGCGCTGCAGCTGCGGCAACGCAGGGGGGGACACCGGAGGATGTTGCCGTAGAGACGCGACCGTTGCTAAGGGCATCATTTCGTCATCCTTTCATCATAAGGTTGATCAATCAGCAGACTTAAACCTCATAGCAGGTTTAGAAATGAGAAGAGGCTTCAAAACTCTTAATCCACAATGTCTTGAGTGTTGTTGTTTTTTTTTTTTTGGGGGGGGGGGTCCCCCCAGAAATGTACACAAAAACTCGAAAACAAGTTTAGTATATGGGCAACCCTGCAATGCTTGCCTCATCTCTAGTATGTCGACCTCACAACAAACACAACCAAGATCCTTCATTTGCATCAAAAATGAAACATAGGAGAGGATGAAGTTTGTGCTTAACATCCGTCCAGCAGTTTCTGCCTTTATCTTAAATGAAATACAATAAATAAGCCTAAGGACTAATGGTTCACAACTGCAAGGTTCCCCTATGTACCAAAATGGTGGAAACTATTTTTTATCAGGGTTTCATTTTTAAAACAGTAATGTGTCATTTACTTAAGAATTGTGTTTCACTAAATTTTTCTTGGTAAAATATTATGGTTGTCTGATGCTACTCCTAATGGTTGGTAGTTGCCATAGCAATCCGTAACTGACAGCTAATCCAGGTTTTCTGGATTCTGTCCATAACTACTGCATGTATTGCATTTTATTTCCATCCATCCATCCATTTTCTAACACGCTTAGTCCCAAGTGGGGTCGCAAGTTGTGCTGGTGCCTATCTGAAGCTGTCATCGGGTGAGAGGCGGGTCCACCCTGGACAGGTCACCAGTCCATCAGCAACACAGAGACAAACAACCATTCACGCACACACTACCTAAGGGGACTTAAGAGAAGCTAACAAACAGTCATGTTTTTGGACTGTGGAAGGAAGCCAGAGTACCCGGAGAGAATCCATGCATGCTCAGGGAGAACATGCAAACTCCATGGAGAAAGACCCTAGGAATCGAACCCAGAACCTTCTTGTTGCTAGGCAGCAACGCTACCCACTGCGTCACTGAGCAGCCCACTTTCTTTCCTATAAGTACTATATTTTAAATAATTAATTCAATAGTTAATTCAATGGTTGACTGCTGTAATATAATTATTTAAAATGTAGTAGTTATGGGAAAGAAAATGCAGGTCTGATCCTAAAACATGCAGTAGTTATGGACAGAAGCAAGAAACAGAAAACTTGGATTAGCTGTCAGTTACGGATTGCTATGGCAACTACCAACCGTTAGGAGTAGCATCAGATAACCATAATATTATGCCAACAAAAATCAGTGGAAAAAAATTCTTAAGTAAATTGACACATTGTACATAAATACTGTTTTAAAAATGAAACGCTTTTACATATGATTGCTGATGAAAATGGTTTCCGCCATTTTGGTACATAGGAGAAAATTAACTGTTATCAGTTCATTCCTTATTAACTTAACCTCAGTCAGACTGAATGGACCAATAATGTAATTATTTGTTAACAGTTGCCCCTGATTCTCTATTTTATTTTTTTTTTTTTAATAATTTTTAATGATAGCTACTGATCCTCAGGGTCCACTGATTGGCTGGCTTCCCTCCTACTGCCATCCATCCAAGTTACATTAATAATAACAAAATTACCACAATGTTAATAACATTTTAGTTAATTGAGCTTTGCCATATTGTAATCTGAAACTGTTGTCCTCAAACCAAGGTGCAAACCATTTCTGTTCTTGGCAATATGGCTCTTTACCCAGGGTGCCATTGTATCAGGGTGGAACACAAATACTGAAAAAAATGCAAACTGAAAAAGTTGCAAGCCTCAACATGATGATAAAACCACTTTAAAATCTATCTCTGTAAGTATTTTTGGCACAGTTAATGTTGATTCACTGTTAAAAGGGAAGGACGACTTACAAAAAAGAAGAAACATGTTTGTATGTAAATATCAAAGTAAATAGATGAGTAAAAAATAAAACTGAGAATGAAAATGCTTTTAAATCTGCTTTATTTATAATCAGAGCTCATTTATAGCTGAGGTTAACATTCAAACATGTCAAACACATCTTCCATCTTTTTGTTTTCCAAAATACACTTTCACAGCCGCTGTTTCACCTCTTTGATTGAAAGATAATTATTTCCCGTGCACTTTTCTGCACTTCCAGTGCACTTTTCTCTCTTCTTGATTCAACCCTAAGCCAGCAGCAACACATCTTTAACATTTGCCTTATTTTTACCTGTTATAAACCTTTAATTTGAAACCCAATAGCCAAATTGTTACTTAGATGTCCTAAATTTGACTGATTGTTTGGTTATTTTCCTTTTAATCATACAGTGCCTTTTAAAAGCTTTTAGAATTAGACTAACATCCTGTTGTGGTATTAGGTTATTGTGCAGCGTGGAAACTGTGTAAGGTTTGCACATTTGCAGACTTATTATAAGTACAGGCTTTCAAAGAGTCCAGCTGATATTTGCTCCAAAATCTAATAAGCAAAGTGGTTGCTAAAATAATTCTTGGACGGATTTCCAAGAGTTTCTGGCAAGCACCAGCAGGATCACCACAGATGGATGAAACCGTTTAATGCTGCAGCAGGTGACAGTGGGTCAGTCTGGGTGGATGGTAACATGAAGACTTTTAGACAAGAAGGGCAGCAAAGACACAGTTTCTGTCAGAAAAAAGCATCAGACAGGCTCAAATTTTGAAAGAAGTACATGGGGTGTGGTACATGTTGCCACCAGTGCAGAACTTGCTCCTGGCAGCGGGTGGGTATGACTTTATATACATGCCTAGAGCTAAACATTTCATGACAAAAGGAGCAGCAAAGAAGCCCTGTCTGTTTCTGAAAAGCATCAATGGTAGACTGGGATTTCTGCTGTAAGGTGTTGCAGAACAATGCAGAGCTTGGTACTGGTGGTAGTGATCTCACTGCATGCTCATATCAAAGTCCTTCAGAATATGGCCTTTTCAGAAAAAAGAGCAACTGATTTTACATTTTTATCATTATTTCAGTCAGAGAAAAGCTTCATAGACGTACAAGGAGAGCAAGTATGGACGACAAGAGATTGGAACTAAGGCGTTTCCTCTGATTGATCCTCCTGATTGGTTGGACATCTGGTGAAGAAAACCTGAGCTTTACCATAAATGGTGCTGACATTGAAGAATCGGCAGAACCTTCTGAGCTGATTGGGTGAAACGATACTCAGTGCCTGCCTACAAAATTTTGGTTTGAGCCAGTCATACTACAAGTGACATAGCAGCAGACACCATGAGGAAAAGAAAAAGTATGTTTTTATGCTTTTGTTTTGCACATCTTTCGAAAAATGAAATCTAATCAAACAGAAGTGAAAGCATCAGCCACATGTTCGTCCTCCTGCAATGCCATATATTTAGGTGCAGTTGTGGGCTCGGCAGCTCTTGCTTTCATCACAGCTAAACGTCGCACCTTAAACCGTAATACTGCTACATTCTGGCCGTCCCTTTTTGGCGTCAGTCTGAAACGGTTGAAGCGAGCACGATGGATTCTATTTTGATCTAAACGCACAAATACAGCAAGAATTCAGCATGCAGGAAAGGTTACGACTGCACACTCTAATGAATAGAGTGTAATCAAAGCATTTTTCAACTTCTTCCACAGAACAATCTGCTCATCTGTGTATTACAGTTGCTCATTTAACAAAATTATTGACCAGTGAAGAGACAAGCTGACTAATTGCGATAAACTCTCAAGGCTCAATAATGTCAAGCGTTATAAAGTCAGCATTTAATTTAGGTATTAAGAAAATCAAAATTATTAAAAAATATATTTGTATTTTCTTGGAGCGCAATAGTTTAGTTGTCTCCAAAACTCCAGAACTGCATGTTTCTTGCTTCACTGATGCCTTAGTGATTTACCATCAACTCCCTTTACACATCGACCAGATGTTAATTCAAACTCTTACTTTAGTAGCATTGCGAGCACCTGGTAGAGATTTTTTTTTTATATATCTAAAAGCATCTTTATTTTGCCTACTACTTTACCACCTACTTAGACAGTCACTGTAATATTCATCCAGAGCACCGCGGTGTCCTCCTGTCTTCCAGCTGTCCACATGCTGAAGGTCCTGAACTCAGAGGATCCAAGCAGATCTGAGGCAGCTGCATTGAAAAGCGCTGAAGGCTTGTGTTTTTATGTGTATATGTCAGTGTGTGTGTGTGTATGTGTGTGTCTTTTTGAGGGTGACACAAGCAGTTCTCCTGCTGTGATATCACCTATATTTCACAAAACCACCTTTAGGTGGCAGTGCGCCCCCCAAGTCACTCCTCCTCCCTCTGTCTGACCTCAGGGACCTGCAGAAGAAAAATAAAATAAAAAATCTGTTAAAGTGCAATCTGTGAAGTGCAACAATTGGCTCCAGGTACTCAGAGATTCACTTTCAAACAGAAAGCCCACATTCATATCTTCAGGTAACACAGAGTACATGTCAGACTTAATAATATTACTTTAGCGATAGTTTCAAGGTGTTGCTTTATTGTATATCTTGTACCATGTCTTTCGGTTGTGTTGTTCTTTTTTTTCCATCTCTTTACAGGTGATGAAGCAGACTGAAAATGTTTTGTCATTGTCTCCTTTCTATCTCTTCTTTCTTTCCTCTTTTTTCTTTTTTCCCCTTTCTTCTTCTGTTTTTCTGCTCCATTTACATTGCAGTGTCCATATAAACTGTAAAACTCCCTGCATAATTATAATAAAGC